CATGGAGGAGGGCACTTGTGGGGATGAGCACTGGGTGTTATGTGGAAACTAATCTGACAATAAACTATTTGTAATAAAATAAAAATAAAAATTAAAAAAAGTTGGAAAAAAATAAATAAAATTCAATATAAAAAAAAAAGAATGAGACCTTCCAAAAAAGAAATATAAGAGCTGAAAGAAAGAACTACTTACACACGAAATACTTGCCCTGTTCTTTTTTTTTTTTTTAATTTTTATTTTATTTCTAGGACAGAGAGAGAGAGACAGCGTGAGCAGGAGAGGGTCAGAGAGAGAGGGAGACACAGACTCTGAAATAGGCTCCAGGCTCTGAGCTGGCAGTCAGCACAGAGCCCGACGCGGGGCTCGAACCCATGAACCTCGAGATCATGACCTAAGCGAAAGTCGGACGCTCAACCGACTAAGCCACCCAGGTGCCCCAATACTTGCCCTGTTCTATAATCAAAGTGTTCTCTTTAATAATTGAACCTGAGTTCAATGGAATGTTAAATTTTCCTATAACCTTCATTTCTTTTTTTTAATGTTTATTTATTTTTTAGAGAGACAGAGAATGAGCATGAGTGGGGGATGGGCAGAGAGAGAGGGAGAGAGAGGACCCCAAGTGGGCTCTATGCTCATCAGCATGGGGGCCTGATCTCACTAACTGTGAGATCATGACCTGAGCCGAAATCAAGAGTCAGCCTAATCAACTGAGCCACCTAGGTGCCCCGTTTCTTTCCTTTTCTTTTCAACAGATCTTATTTATTTATTTAAGTTTATTCATTTATTTTGAGAGAGAGAGCATGCGGGGGAGGGGCAGAGAGAGAAGGAGAGAGAGAATCTCAAGCAGGCTCCATGATGTCAGCACAGAGCCCAAACTGGGGCGTGAACCCATGAACCGTAAGATCATGACCTGAACCGAAATCAAGAGTCAGATGCTTAATGGACTGAGCCACCCAGGCACCCCAATACTCAAAAGAATTTTTTAAAAAATCAGATACTTATACACTAATGTTCATAGCAGCATTATTCACAATAGTGAAAAAGAGAAAAATCCCAAGTGTCCATCAAACTGACAAAAGGATGGACAAGATGTGGTATACATGGACAGTGGAATGTTATTCAGCTATAAAAAGGAAGTTCCGACACATGCAACAACATTGATGAACCTTGACATTTGCTAATGAAAATGAGTCACAAAGGGACAAATATTTAGGTGAGATACCTAGAAGAGGCAAAATCCTAGCGACAGAAATTAGAATTGAGGTTATCCGGGGTTGATGGGAGAGGAAATAGGGAGTTACTGTTTACTGAGTACAGAAATTTCTGTTTCAGATAATGAGAATTATCTGGAAATGGACAGCAGTGATGGCTGCACATTAGGAATGTACTTAACATCACTGGATGGTACACTAGAAAATGATTAAAATGGTAAATCTTATGTATATCTTACTACAATAATGCAGATCTATAAGAGGTATCAAACTTTCTCAAAATTCTTTTGGGTACAATGCTGGAGGCAGAGGAGTAGAGAATACTGTCAGTGCAAGGGGAGAATGAGCTCCACATCAGGAACTTTAAGGGCGAAGTAGGGAAAGAAATTCAATCGGTACAGCCACCTTCACCTGGTCAGCTTTTTTTTTACTAGGAGTGCCTGGGTGACTCAGTTGGTTAAGCAGTGGACTTCACCTCAAGCATGATGTCACAGTTTGTGAGTTCAAGCCCCACATCCAGCTCTGCACTAATAGTGCAGGATTCTCTCTCTCCCCCCTTCTCTGCCCGTCTTCACTCACGCACTCTCTCTCAAAATAACTAAAACTTAAGAATACATACATATATATAATAACTTTTTATTATTATTTTAGGGAGAGAGAGCGCGCGCGCGCACAAAAGGGGGAGAGGGGCAGAGGGAGAGACTCTTGAGCCGACTCCATGCTCAGCGCAGAGCCCTCTTGGGGAGTGGATCCCAACTCCCTGGGATCATAACCTGAGCGGAAATGGAGTCCCGGTCCTCAACTGAATGAGCCACCCGGGCAGCTTTCCTGGTCTGCTTTCTGAAACCAAAGCTGGGTAGAGATCTAAAATAACTATGGGGGATAATATGAGCCAATAAAACTTATCCCCCTGTACGACTTCCATTTGTTCCTGAATTAAAAAAACATCTTTCACTCTACTGACCGCTTCTCAAGTTTTTTATTTTAAATATAAACACCTGAAGGCGTTTGCAGCCTTTATGTTTCTCATCTTTAATATTTCAACGCACACAACATTTAACATTTCTCTGAAACTATCACATCTCCAAATGAGACTGTCCATGTAAATGGCCTGTCTGGGGCAGGTCAGAGTGAAATTTGTTCAGGAGTTACATTAACACCAAAACGCCTTCAACCCGATTGCAGCCCGGGGCCTAGAACAGAAGGCGGCTCTGCTTCGGAAGGGGCTGTCCCAACAACACCCAACTCCATACGGATTCCTCACCTTCTGTAAACCGGAACGTCTATTATCCTCTTGGCTGCTCCAAAGGATTCTGGGAGTTAGGGGAGGGTCCAAGGGTCAAAAACGAAATGTTGGCACAAGATGCGCAGCGATAGGCTCAGGATTATGAGCCAGTTGCTGAGCGATTTGTCAAATCCTCCGACCACTTCCATGACTTCTCCCACCGGGTAGGCCCGCTCACGTTCCTACCGTCCACGCCCCGCCCCTCCGCTGCCCTATTAACCAATCATAGAGCTGTTGCTTGCCAGTCCGAGCCAATCCCCAACAGGTTTACTTTGAGCGGGAAAGATTCAGAAGCTGCAGAAGAGCGAGGTCAGCTAACGGCCCCTTCTCGGCCTAGTCTCTGGGGGGGGGGGGGTTACAGGCCCTGGAGGTCGTTGCCTATTGGCCGGGCAGAGGGCCAATGAGGGGGTGCGAAGCGGGGGGGGCGGGCCTCTCAGATGGGTGTGGGGAGTGGCGGGGCGGGCCGGTGCAGGGTCGCGTGCAGTGCCTGGTCTCGAGCAGGGGGTAGGCAATGTAACGGCCTCTCCCCCCCGCCCCTCCCTCCCCGCTCCGGCCCCCCCACCCACAGACTGGCTCCGAGCAGCGCTCGGGGCGGCGGCGGCGGCAGCGGCGGGGTGCGGGCTGAGGGAGCCGGGCCTCGACGCCCCCCCTCACCCCCGTACCCCAGGAGCTGTACCTAGTCCGGGAGGGGCTGGGGTCCCCCATGGAGGTGAGAGGCGGAGTCACCTGTCCGCCCCCTCACCCCCCAGGCCTGAGGGGGGTACTTGAGGTAACCGGTGGGAACGGTCGGGGTCCGGGGAGCGGCCAGGCTTGGAGAATGGCGACGGTGAGGAGAGGCGGGTGGCGGGAGCGTCCCGGACGCGGTGCACTGAGGAGGCCGCGGCCGCGCTGGGGAGTGCGGGTCCCCCGGGAGGTTCCCCGACGGGACGCCCGCCGGCCCGGCGAGACGCCTGTGCGGGCTGGGGGTGGTGCCGCGGCTGGCCGGGCCCGGGATGGGGGTTCGGGGGGCGCGGCGAGGGCTGACAGGACCCGGCGGGCCGGGCCGCGGTGGCCGCGACGCCAGGGCCGCCGTCGTCTCCTCCACGTCGGGCGGCGGCGGCGCTGAGGCTGTGGCCGGCAGCGTGGCCCTGTCACGGCCGTCGACGGCCGTGCCTTTGCGGTCGGCCCGCAGAGGTGGGGCCCACAGGCAGAGAGGGGGAAGCCCGGGGACAGAGAGGCGGCAGCCCCGGGATCGGCCCCGGGTCCTCGGAGCGGATTCCGAGTGGAGGGGCGAGAAGAGCGGCGGGACACCCTCCGTCCGTCGTTTCGGGCCTGGCTTTGCAGTGCGTGATGCGGCTCCCGCTTCGTCCCTGTCCCTGTTTCCGTGCAGCCCAAGATAGCGTTCCGTGGAGGTGCGACCCGCTGCTGGAACCTCGGTGCCGACCCCAGCAGCAGACTCACGGATGTGTTCAACAGCGTGATGCTGAGCAGCTCCGCTTCCTTCTATGATTGCTACAAATCGCAGGTCCGTCCCTTGTTAGAGGACCCTCACCCCACCCCAAGTCAAAGTCGTTTCCCCGGGCCCATTCCTATAGGTGTTGAAATTGCTACGAGGGGCGCCTGGGTGGCTTAGTCGGTTAAGCGTCCGACTTTTGCTTAGGTCATGATCTCGCGGTTTGTGGGTTCGAGCCCCGCGTCGGGCTCTGTGCTGACTGCCAGCTCAGAGCTTGGAGCCTATTTCAGAGTCCGTGTCTCCCTCTCTCTCTGATCCTCCCCTGCTCACGCTATCTCTCTCTCTCTCTCTCCTAGAAATAAATAAAAAAATATAAAAAAGAAAGAAAGAAAGAAAGAAATTGCTCCAAGTTTAGGACCAGAAAGCCAAGAACCTTCTTCCTTTCTTTCTGTTTAAAAGCCGGTACTAATTTCAACACAGAGTCCGCACTTCTGTAGTTTGCTCTGAAAACAAGATTTCACATTGATTCTTGTTTTCGTTTAAATGTAGGAAAATCCATATTTAGTAAGAGCGTAAAATAGTTGTTCCTCCAAGCATTTATTGCAAGTCGGCCCAAACATACCTTTGATGGTTGGAAGGTGAAAGTTTCCTGGACACCTTCATTTTCTGGCTTTAATAGGGTCTTAGATTACACGCTAGCTTTTGCTTCACCGAAAACCTTTAGTTTTATTAATCGTATTAAATTAGGCTCTGGGTGGTGTAAGTCATTTTCATTGGAAATTATTTAACCGGGACGTCACGGTTGTTATTGCTATACATTGAGTTATAACAATAGTCCCAAATAAATAATTTTATTTAATCCATGCTACAATTCTGTATAATATTGCACCCACTGTACAGACTGAGAAACTGAGGTTCAGCTTGATTCATGTCTTAAGTGACAAAGCCTAAGTGGACCCCAGGCATTTTTACTGCCAAGACCAGCATTCCACTGTTCTCTATACTGTTTTCACAGCTACTCAAATTTACCTGGATTTCATTTCAATCAAGTATATCCAGGATATGTGTGATACATTTTGCAGTTATCTAGATGGATTATTATGCCAAACCCAAGCATTTGGGAATTTAATTCCTATAAATGTTTTAACTGAGAAGAGTCCAGATATTTAAAGTATAATTGTGTTTGAATCCACCACATTACTTTAGCTATTTGTTTTATCCTAGAATACAAAATTGAAATCAATCTTATAAAAGGATTTAATTTTGCAAATACTCAAATCTTACTTTAAAATATAAAACGAAGTTGAAAGAATATTCCTAAAATTCACTTAGTTTCAAATACTGTATATCTTGTTTGATATTACATAATCTGAAAATACTTCCTTTAAGTCACTATATCAACAAGATGAACAATTACTTATGTCACTTTGGATGTTTCACATCTAAAAGAGAGTTAAGATGGACCTATGATAAAAACTTCAGAATTAAAGGAAGAAAATTAAGAAAGATTCCAAAGATAAAAGGCTTTGTAACAGTTATTGCTAACTAAGAAATTCTGGAAAGTAGTTTTTAGTGACACAGTTAGCAAAAGTATTTCGGTGCCTCAGTTTCCCCAGCTTCAGCATAGTCAGCACATACACACACACACACACACGACAGTTATAACATGTAGTTTTCAAATAACAGTCATAACCAGAATTTAAGCAAATACTTGTAAAACATTTGAGATTCTTAAAGATGGGTGATTGGAAGATACTAATTTTCATATTTTACTAGTATAATAGAAACTCAGTGTTATGTTTAAAGAGTTGTATTTCAACTATGTATATAAGGAACAAAAATTTAAGAATACTTTGATTTAAATATGTCTTCTCTCTTTATGTAAACTTTATAAAAGCAATTAGAAAATATTTTTAGCCAGGATTATATTTCTTCTGTATAAGAAAATCCTATTTTAACTATGTCCAGATATTTATAGTTATTACATCTCAGATTTCATTTGGAGAATTAAAATATATGAATGTATACTTTCAGACTTCTTTAAAGAAGCATTTTCTAGAATAAAATACATCTAAATAAGTTAATCTTTATTATTTGTTAAATTCATTCTACTATTTTAAGTATCTAAACTTATTTTCATTGCACATTAATTCCTTTTGGAAAGAGGCAGTATTTTGTTTGTTTATTTTTGAAAGAGAGAGAGCATGCAAGGGAGAGGGGCAGAGAGAGAGAGAGAGAGAGAGAGAGAGAGAACCTTAACTAGGCTCCAGGCTCAGCACAGAGCCCATCATGGGGCTTGATCACACCACTGTGAGATCATGACCTGAGCCAAAATCCAGAGCCAGACGTTTAACCAACTGAGCCACCCAGGTGCCCTAAGAGGCAGTATTTTAAATCAATAAAATTTTAAAACTCAAACTTTTACCCTATTTACTCAAAGTAAATTATAGAACAATTCACCTCCCCCAAAAAAAGAGCTTATATTTTCTTCTAATTGTAGTAATAGCTTTTAAATTTCTGAAGACATCATAAAGTTTTATATATCATCATTTTTATAATATCTCTTAGAAATAGAAACTAGGCTGAAAATTAAAGATATTATTTAAAAGTTCCTACAGTAGGAGTAAGAAGACCTTGAGTTTAGGTTTAGTTTTGTCATCTATCAGCTCAGTAACTTGAAGCCTCAGTTTCCTTGTTCTTAAAATACAGTACTCCTGTCACAAGGTTGACCAAATATAATGTTACGTAGAATTTCTTTGAAAATTCTATATAAATAAATGTACATTCGCCTTTTTTTTTCCACAGATTGGGGGCATTAAGACTGAATTTTGTAAATGATTTCTTGAAAATTACACTGCTAATGTCTACATAACACTCATCTGTTAAAAATTAAAAGTGTAGTAATTGTAGGTATTTCATACCAGGGATAGGCAGCAAATACTGATCAGATTTGCCTGAGTTTTAAACAAAATTTTATTGGAACACAGTCATACCCCTTACATACTGTCTGTGGTTTGCTTTGGTGCTAGAACAGCAGAGTTAAGAACTTTAAACAGAGACCTTACCAGCCAGCAAACCCTAAAGTATTTATTTCCTGACCCTTTACAGAAAAAATTCATGAACCCCTAGTGGGAAGTAAATTTAGGTAGCTTAGTCTAGATTTTTTTTCTATATTTTTATTTATTTCTGAGAGAGAGAGAGACAGTGTGAACAGGGGAGGGTCAGAGAGAGAGGGAGACACAGAATCTGAAACAGGCTCCAGGCTCTGAGATAGCTGTCAGCAGAGAGCCCAATGCGGGGCTCGAACCCGTGAACCGTGAGATCATGACCTGAGCTGAAGTCGGAGGCTTAACCGACTGTGCCACCCAGGTGCCCCAGCTTAGTCTAGATTTTAAGTCATCCCAACTCTAACGCATGTGTTATTTCCTCTAATTTCTTATTATTTCACTAATATTCTGTAATAAATGTAATTTTGACTTTTTTCATGTGCAAACATGTCTTTAAAATTTCAGAGTGAAGACAGTGTTGATCCAAGGCAGCCCTATACTCCACTTTCTTCATCAGCAGAATATTCAAGTTCTATAGATTCTTCACTTTTCTATGCACCATGGTCTACTTACGGAGATGATATTAAACAGCCTTCTAATTCTCAGATCAATGTAAAGAACAGGTAAATTAATAAATTAGACTTTTCAGGCTAAATGAAAACTTTTAAAGTTTGATTACATGGGAACCCAGTTGTATTAACTCTTTGTTCCCTACATCAGCATTTTAAGGTTATGGCATTACAATTTTATGTTTATCAAACTTTTAGAAACCCTATGCTGGGCAGTTCTGTGTTATAATTTTTAGCTCATTACTTTTTGTTTATTCAGTAGAGGTAGCCCTTAGTGAGTAAATCTTAAGTTCCTCTTTCTAAATATAACTTATATAAATAGATTATAATTTTTAGATCTATTTTTTCATCTAACTTTAATCTAAATTTTCAGTAATTATTTCCTTCACAAGTGTACAACAAACAGGATTTTATCAAACATAAGATTTGTTTGTTTGTTTATTTTTGAGAGAGAGAGAGGGAGAGAGAATCCCAAGCAAGTTCCATGTTGTCAGCATGGAGCCCAGCGAGGACCCTGATCTCACAATCTGTAACATCATAACCTGAGCTGAAATCAAGAGCGTGATGCCCAACTGACTGTGCCACCCAGACCCCCCTACTTATTTTTTAATTTCATTAACGTTAAAGGCCTAACTCTATGCCAGATCTCTCTTACCAGGGATATTACAATTAACATGGCAAATATGATCTCCAACTTTATAGATCTTACAATAATGCTGATGATGATGCCAACGATGACAGTGGTGACTTGCTGGGCACAAGTCTAGTGCAGTTTAAAAAGGAGTATAGGATATTATGGGAGCCTTTTGGAAAGAGAAGTCTAAAGGAGTAACATCTGCTTTTATTTTAATTATGTATAAGGGAGCAGTTGATAAAGGCTGATGCAGCTTTATTTTAATTGGACAATAATTATTTTAAAAATCTTACATGTTTTTTTTTATTTTTTTATTTTAATTTTTTTATGTTTTTATTTATTTCTGAGAGAGAGAGAGACACAGCGTGAGCAGGGGAAGGTCAGAGAGAGGGAGACGCAGAATCCGAAGCAGGTTCCAGGCTCTGAGCTAGCTGTCAACACAGAGCCTGATGTGGGGCTCGAACACACGAACCGTGAGATCATGACCTGAGCCGAAGTCGGACACTTAACTGACTGAGCCACCCAGGCACCCCTCAAGCTTCTTTTTAAACTCTACACCCAACAGAGGGCTCAAACTCATGGCCCCGAGATCAAGAGTCACATGCTCTACCGACTGAGACAGCTGGGTGCCCTCCTTAAAAATCTTATTAATTGAAGAATGTTTAAAAAAATGTTAAAAACTGGGGTGCCTGGCTGGCTCGGTCTGTGGAGCGTGTGACTCTTGATCTAGGGGTCATGAGTTTGATTCTCCTATTGGGTGTAGAGATTACTTTAAAAAGTTAAAAATTTTAAATTTTTGGTGAGTTCTATAAAATAGTGAACTTACTAGAAAGACTAACATATAATTATACAAAAGCATTTTTTCAGTTGATATATGTTCATTGCAAAAATTCAGACTGTACAGAAATCTATAAAAGAAAATGGAAGTTCACCTTAACTCTTAACACTTCCCAATAACAACTTTAATAGTTTATTACATTCAATTATTTTAGAAATATATTAATATATTATTATACAAAAAACTGCATCCAATATTTTTGAAATAACACGATATAGTAGAAAAAGCATTAGACTTGTAGGCAAACCATTTGTTCAACAAGTGTACAGGATGACAAATCACATACACTTGCAAAATACAAGTTTCTTAATATCTCAAATGATCATTCTTCAATAGCTAAAAGATTACTAATACCTACCCATCTTATGTTATGAAGATCAATGAACTGTTTGAGTGTTATGCAAATATAAAGGTATTTTTATTTCTAAAATGTCCTACCACTATGAAGTGTTAGAAATAAAGTGTGATAAAACAAGAAGTTACAACTTAAAGCAACATATTACTTCTAGGAGCAAATTGGTTTAAATAGGGTATTAAAAGGCACTAATTTTCCATCTCCTGGTTTTTACATTTTGTATTAGACAGTGTTAGTCACAAGGTAGGATTTCAGGTACATGGAGCTCTAGTTACTTTAGTAAGGATTTAGGGAGAGCCAACAAATCTGTTACATTTAAGGAACAACTGTAATATTCCTGTGGTATCTAGGATGACCATATCACTTTTCACTTTTTAAATCCAACATTTGGTCTAAAGAGTCACAAAAATAGAGTAGCAGATTTGTATGGTTTTCAAATCACAAATGAAAAATCTGAGCATGTGTTGATGGAATAATGTATAATGGGACCAGATATGCCTTTAGAAGCAGCCGTGGTGCCAAGCATGTCTAAAACATCATAAGTCAGAGATTTATATCTTGGAACTTAAAATGAATAGCATGTGTTTGGGAGAAATAAGAGTTAAGCATACATTGCAAACTAGATGAAGGATTTGAAATGGAGAAACATGCAAGCATGGGCACTATGCTAAAGTGGAAAATATTCTTTAAAAAAAAAAAAGAGGAAGTGTGAGGTGCAGAGAGAGAAAGGAGAGAGAGGGAATCACAAGCATGCCCCATATCACCAGCACAGAGCCCAGCACGGGGCCCGAACCCATTGTGAGATCATAACCCAAGCAGAAATCTAGTCAGACGCTCAACTGACTGAGCCATCCAGGCTCCCCTGAGGTGGAAAATATTCTTGAGTTCCTATATTCTCTTTATTTGAAATGATGGGATAAATTAAATCCAAGTATTTTGTAGAAAAATAATGGCATAAGAAGTCAGGAAATAGAAATCAATATATTGTATTTCACTATGAGAAAAATAATTTATATGTGATATTCATTTATTTTTAGGATTCAAACAGAAAGAAACGACTTTGGCAGTGAAACAGACTTATATGGACTTGTGTCTAACATTTTGGAAGAACAAGATAAGTCACAGCCATATTTTGCTGAGGGGTTAGTATATTATATAAGCTATATGGTAAATAGTAAGCTTTTGAATTCACACATACCAGATTACTGTATTTATTAGCTTTTATTTTTACTTAATAGGGGATCATCTGACAATAGACATCTTAATTCAAATATTTGTTTTTAACAGCCTTGACTTTGCTGAGGTACTTGCCATACGATTGGAAGTTTCAGGCTTAAAGTTTAATTTGCTATTAAGAATTTTCATTTGGAAAGTTATTCTTGCATAATTCAGAGCTATTTCCCTTGAGTTCATGAGCTAAAGTTTGGCTTTAGAGTACAAATTCCACAGAGCTTTTATACATCTATCCTAAAGAATAAAACTATCATTACTGCTATGCAGAAATACGTATGGATTTTATTCATATAGTAAAAATTTTTTAAATACACTTTGATTGCTTTTTTGGGTATGGAAGCCACACTACCCAAATGCCATATTTCATAAATGGGGAAATATGCAGCACACATGTAACCAATTAAAATGTTTTAATTTTAGTAATAGTTTTAGCAAAGTACATCTTTTTCATTTAAAAAAATGTGGTCAACAACATTTTTGTATTCTATAATAACCTAATTAAAGGAAAAAATTACTTTGTTTCCTGCTTACTATAGATAAACAATTCATGCAAGACCATGTAGTCACCAGCCTCAGGCCTCAGTTAATGCCTCTTGGGAAAGTATACAGAAGACATATTAAGATTAAAATGCATATTAATGTAGCATGTGGCACATTTCAAGTGATAGAAAATTATTTGGATGTAATGGTAATTTATAAGGCAAGGTTAGGATTAATGGGGAGGTGAGGCAATATAAATGTTTTGAGAACCTGTCCTACCTTCTCCACTGGAAATAAAGTCATTTTAAAATCTGAGTTGTAATTAAATATATTTACTTGTTCTAGGACCTGCTCTTCCAATTTAAAGTCAGTTTGGCCAATGAACACAAGCAGATTTGCAGATCACCATGACCTCTTAACAGAATCCAAAAGGCCAATAGATACAGCCATCTCTCAGCAAGCTTTTTATAGTGGTGAATCTGTGTCAGCAATGGAAAAGCAATACCTGCATAATAGTAATCTAACACCACAACAAAAAATAGATGAAATTTATCATGGATTTACTGGTCTAGACCTTGAAGAACAATGGATGTACCCCTCACGAAGTGATCATTCTAACTGTTACAATATCCAGACAAATGATACAGCTAAGACAACATTCCAAGATTATCCATTTATCAAAAACTGTTTTACATCACAGACGGGTCTGTCTGACATCATGAAAGAATCAGGAATTGATACTTACCCTTATGGAAGAGAGAAAATATGTGCTAAAGGTCTTGAAGCACCATTACAGCAAAAAAGGGCAGAGATGTTTCTTTCTCAATTTAACAGATACAACGAAAACACAGATTATTGTAGATACCCAGAATATGTTCATACTAATAAGGCTAAGCTTAATAAGTGCTCGAATTTTAACATCCAAGATAGCAAAAAATTAGCCAATGGCACACCTGAAACACCAACTGTAGAAGCAGACACCTACACAAAGTTATTTCAGGTTAAACCAGCAAATCAGAAAAAAGTGGAAGAGACAGTACCTGACCAGCAGAATTTCGCATTTCCAAAAACCACACCACATCTAACAGAAAAACAGTTTGCAAAGGAAGCAGCATTCACTGCTGATTTTGGCTTAAAATCAGAATATGGACTAAAACCTCACGCAGCTTGTCCAGCTAATAATGATTTTGCTAATGTCACAGAAAAACAACAGTTTACTAAACCTGACCCCTCAAATTCTGAGTATTTTAAATCTGTGAATTTATTATCAAACTCAGCAACACCTTCAGGAGGTATCAACTTAAACAGACCAACTTGGATGAATGTCCAAGCAAAAAGTAACACTCCTATTCCTTATCGAAATCAAGGTAACTTGATGAAATTAAATAGTCACTTAAGTGTAGCTTCTAAAGGTTCTAACCATTCTTCAGATTTCCCCCAACTATCATCCACAAATTTAACCCCAAATAGCAGTTTATTTCAGAAGTATTGCCAAGAAAACCCTTCAGCATTTTCTAGTTTTGATTTCAGTTACAATGGTGCAGAAAGAATTCAATCTGTCAATCACATGGAAGGACTGACAAAGACTGGAGAAGAAAATCTCTTTGAATCAGTTACTGATAAAAAAGTAAAGCAGCCAAATGGATTTTGTGATAACTATGCAGCTCAGCAGTATGGGATCATTGAAAACGTAAACAAACATAATTTTCAAGCTAAGCCTCAGAGTGGACATTATGATCCTGAGGAAGGTCCAAAGCATTTAGATGGCTTATCTCAAAATACATATCAAGATCTGTTGGAGTCACAGGGTCATTTTAATACCCACAGACAGGGAAGTGGAGACAACAATATTAATAGCCGTGTGAATCGCACACAGGCGTCGTGCTTTTCTAATAATTATATGATGGGAGATTTAAGGCATAATCAGAATTTTCAACAACTTGGTTCAAATGGGTTTCCCCTAAGATCCACTCACCCATTTGGCCATTCAGTTGTTCCACTGTTGGATTCTTATGATTTGTTTTCTTATGATGACTTAAGCCACTTATACCCTTATTTTAATGATATGATGTATGGTGATAATTCCTTTGCTGGTTTCGTGCCAACTTTTGGATTTCAAAGACCAATTAAAACCCGTAGTGGACCAGCCAGTGAACTTCATATTCGACTAGAAGAGTGCTATGAACAATGGAGAGCATTAGAAAAGGAGAGAAAAAAGGTAATACAAATCTGTCCGTTTAGGAGTAATGTAGGATGTTCTATCTTCATTTTGTTAGTGTAGTTCAAGCTGAACTTATTTCTAAGCTGAATTCTTCTATAATGTAAAGTATTTAACTCCATGACTGTAAGCAATTAGATGACTTAAAAAATGTAAGGCTTAAAACATTGTTATTTATATAAAGGATTTTTTTGCCTATGAAGTAGAGTTTTTCCTTAATGAGCCAAAAGTTTACTACTTTGGGGGCACCTCGCTGGCTCCATCGGAAGAGCATGTGACCCTTGACCTCAAGAGTTTTTTAAGTTCAAGTCTCACACTGGGTACAGATTACTTAAAAATATAATCTTAAAAAAAAGTTATTTTAATTAAGTATTAAACCGTTGGAGTCTTCAGGTATTTTATATGCATTAAATATAGAAAAATACAGTGGTATTGTGGTTTGCATTTGTTTGATACTGAAACAATTTTAAAGTAGTCATTTTCAATTTATTAGGCCTATGAGAAATGTTATTCATAATTGAATCATATTTAGAAAATTCAGCATCTAAAAATTATATAATTTTTTACAGACTGAATTGGCCCTGGCCAAGAATTACCCAGGGAAAAAAGTATCCAGTACTAACAACACTCCAATTCCAAGGCTGACCTCCAACCCATCTCGAGTTGATCGCTTAATTGTGGATGAACTTCGAGAACAAGCCAGAGTAAGCTGTAAAAATATCCAAAAATAGATTTTTTTAATTGCTTGATAAAATTTTAAAATGTTTCAGCAAGTCAGAGTTCTGAATGATTTTTAAATCCCATTTATGCATAATTCTCTGAAATTCTTTTCCCTGTTCAGTCCTACAACTATGATTAATAGTTACAAAAGGGGAAATAGCACCCCCTCAATCCTTTTAAAAGCAGATTTAGTAGGTGCACCTGGGCAGCTCAGTTGCTTTAGCGTTCAATTCTTGATTTCCCCTCAGGTCATGATCTCACAGTTCATGGGATAGAGCCCAACATCAGGCTCTGCGCTGACAGTGTGGAGCCTGCTTGGAATTCTCTCTCTGCCCCTTTCCCTTTTCATGCTCTTTCTCTCTCTCTCTCTCTGTCTCTCAAAATAAAATAAGCATTAAAAAAAAGGTTTAGGAATTTAAATAGTTCCTCTTTAAGAAGCCTATTATCAGGGGCGCCTGGGTGGCTTAGTCGGTTAAGCGTCCGACTTTCGCTTAGGTCATGATCTCGCGGTTCGTGGGTTCGAGCCCCGCGTCGGGCTCTGTGCTGACTGTCAGCTCAGAGCCTGGAGCCTGTTTCAGTCTGTGACTCCCTCTCTCTCTGACCCTCCCCTGCTCACGCTGTCTCTCTCTCTCTCTCCTAGAAATAAATAAAACATTAAAAAAAAAAAGCCTATTATCAGCAATAGAGCTAATCCTCAACAGAATTTTAAAGCAAAAATAATTTTGAATACTATTTATAGAAAAAGTCTATAAATTTCTCTAAAAAAAACCAAAAAGTACATTTGTTTTCTAGCTAGATGAGCACGGTGTATTTGCATCATGCAAAATGGGAAATTAACAGGGAATTACCATATTTTATTTTCTTAACCCTGCACACTTGAGTTATTCAACAAACATTAAGTGTATCTAGCAATGTATGAAATACTGATAAACTGAAAAAAAATACTGGAGACTGTAGGTATGCATAATTGTATAAAATAGCTTTGTTTTAGAAAAGTAGCATATCACTTCAAATGTAAAGAATCCTGACGTGAGGTCATTTTGTAATTTGACAAATGATTATTCTTATCTCCTTTGTAATTTCAGAATTTTTTAGAATTTAATAGAGTAGGGTAAAGTTATTCTTTTTTGACCTTCCTCTCTTAAAAACTTGTAATGCTTTTCAAATATGATAAAAGATTCCTGGGAGGGGCACCTGGCTGGCTTAGTTGGAGGAGTGTTGGACTCTTGATCTCAAAGTCATGGATTCCAGCCCCACACTGAGCCTAGAGATTACTTAGAAAAAATTCCTGGGAAAAAGCATGAAGATAGCTTGCTTCTATGATTGAATAAAAGCCATTTTACAAATTAGAAAAATCAACATAGCAGAGTCTGTTTTATTGAACATCAGTTGCATGTACTTTGCTGTCTTTAAAATATAGATATGAACTACTTCAATAGAAAAAAGAGTGATTTTACCTAGCTTTCAGTTGGTCAGTTGAAATTCTTTTATCAAATCTGTAAATTTGTATAATGGATTTATCAGTATTACAGTCAGATACTAACATGGGTTACAGCCAGATGTTAAAAACTTCAATCTTTTATTATTTTTCTTAAAATCATTCCAAGTTAAAATTCCTTTTTCTCAGCAATACATTTCTAGGCAGTAAGTCAAGTGATTGCAAACATAATAAACTTTTTCCAGCTTTGTTTATGCTTCATATTAATTTAGGTTTATGTTTATAGCTGTTGTAATAATTTTATCTGTATTAGCAACATTAGGGGCACCTGGATGGCTCAGCTGGTTACGCATCCGACTTTGGCTCAGGTCATGATCTTGGAGTCTTGTGAGTTCGAGCTCCACGTTGGGCTCTATGCTGACAGCTCAGAGTTTGGTACCTACTTTGGATTCTGTGTCTCCTCCTTTCTCTGCCCCACCCCTCCCCTGCTCATGCTCTCTCTCAAAAATAAATAAACATTAAAAAAAATTTTTTTAGGGGCACCTGGATGGCTCAGTCAGTTAAACGGCCAACTCGGCTCAGGTCATGATCTCACAGTTTGTGAGTTCGATCCCGCATCAGACTCTGTGCTAACAGCTCAGAGCCTGGAGCGTCCTTCTAATTCTGTGTTTCCCTCTCTCTCTGACCCTCCCCGCTCACACTGTCTGAGTGTCTGTCTCTCTCAAAAAAATAAACAAACATTAAAAAAATTGTTTTATATTTAGCAACATTAGACTGATGAGAACAAAGGGCAAAAATATTTTTCCTTGTACTACTTTCTAGTTTGCTGGTTTTATACAATCTTAAAAAAAAAAAAAACCCACCTTTTTTATTAAAAATCACCTGTGCAAATTTTTCTTTTTTTTTTTTTTTAATGTTTTATTTATTTCTAGGAGAGAGAGAGAGAGACAGTGTGAGCAGGGGACGGTCAGAGAGAGAGGGAGTCACAGACTGAAACAGGCTCCAGGCTCCGAGCCGGCAGTCAGCACAGAGCCCGACACGGGGCTCGAACCCACGAACCGCGAGATCATGACCCAAGCGAAAGTCGGACGCTTAACCAACTAAGCCACCCAGGCACCCTGCAAATTTCTTTCTTTACACTTATCATTTATTTTAAATGATTCTTATTTTAAAAATATATAATTTTAAAAATGCATAATTAGTAGTCGCCTGGAGCTCTTCTTTGTGGTTTTTCCTTTTTTTTTTCCTTTTGTTGTTTTGTTTCCCCCTCAAGAATCCTGGTGGGATTTATAGTTGGGAGGAAAATACTTAATACGTTTGTACTTCTGTTTTCTCCATGGACCCAAAGTGGCATCACTCCAAAGAAACTTGAAATGAGCATGCGGTTAGAGGCATTCATTCAGGTGCCGCTAGCTTCTTCACGGAGAGATTTTTCTACTGTCTCTAATCACTGAACACCAAGTTCTTATGTGAATTTTAAATCATTTAGCTCCCAAAGGCAATGACTATGTTTATTTGATGTTCAAATCCTAATTATTGAAAAAGTTCTCTTTCCTTATACCTTTCAAGTTTAGAATTTGAGATATTAGGTATATGCAACTATGAATTATACTCCCCTTACTGATCCTACTGGATTAAGGATTCCTTAAAACTACCACTAGTTAGTATGACCTGAAATTTTCTGGTATTTCTTTCCAAAAGGAGAATATTGAAAGCCCAAAAAGGACTTGCTGAGGTCACGATTAATCAATCTAGGACTTCTCCTTTTTAGCTCAACGTTTTTCCCTTTAGATTACACTACCTCCTAAAAATGTTCTATTTGCAGGCTGTTCTCTTATTTGCCAAAAACAATATTAGATCTTAAATTTGCACTGTCAGTGACATGGAAATGTTTAAATGTTTGATTTTTTTTAACTGTGGCTTATTCCCAGTAACTGATTACCAAAACAAGTAGGTACAAAAGACTGACTTTACATCTTTATTTTCCCCAGCATGGTGTCAGGACCCAGTAGGCATTTAAGTATTTATTAGATGAATATTATTGCTCTCATCTCTATTCTACTTCATTGAAGATTTGTTCTTACTTAAAGACAGGGCAGTGTGGTTACATGCCTTATCAAAATTTAAAATGTTTCCCTCAGGTTGTGACTCTACTAGGCAAAATGGAACGTCTTCGAAGCTCTCCCCTTCACGCCAATATCTCTACTGCTCTTGATAGACACTTGGAGTCCATTCACATTGTTCAGTCCCGTAGAAAGGATGAAATTGTTAATGCTTCAAATCGGCAAAGGCAAGGAGTTCCTAGATGCCAAGATGACAGAGGTAATAGTGTTAATGCATATTCTTTTGATAAGGCATATTCTTTTGATAATAGCTAAAGATAAATTGGTAAATCATCCTCACATAATTTACTCCGTGAGTACTTTGGTCAATTTTTGTTAATTTTACCCATTTAATTATAACTCCGTCAAAGTCTGTGTTTTGCCCAAAGCATAGTCATTGTCATACAAGTCAGAAACAGAGTATCAACACTTTTCAATATTAAGTCAAATAGTTAACTCAGTCAATAGCCATTCTTCTTCTATAAAAATAATGATGTTTGATCATTTAATAGCACAGCATTGGGCTTTTTAAGAGTTAAGGGATACATAAAAGATTATCTAATATGAACTGACCCTGAGTGTTTGCTTTACAGATGTTTTTGCCCTTGCTTCAGCAATTAAAGAAATGTGTGTGGCTACTCGGAAAGCACGCACTACCCTGTGGTGTGCACTGCAGATGACCTTGCCAAAAACAGCCAGTACAGCTGGCCAAACAGATGTGGAAAAGGCTTTACAAGATATAGTAAACTGTGAAGATAAAGTCCATGAAAACATAAATAATAGCAATCTAATGAACCAGAGAGGTGAAGCAAACAAACATTAAGGAAATGCCAGCAGAAAGAAGAGTAAAAAGCTGATAAGTAAATTTATCAAGACATGCTAAAAAATTTTAATGAACTTGTCAAACTTGAAAACTTGTCAGTACATTAATTTTCTTTCAGATTTAAAGTTAATACCTTAATGAAGTCTAACTTCTATTTAAAAATCTATTTGGAATGAATCAGATGTAATAGTTTAAAGTGAACTCAAAGAGAAAGCTGACTACTCTGGGAGTTCCAAGTAGTCAAAGATAACAAGTTTAAATATTTCCTAACAGCTAAAATATTGCTTAAGCCAATTCTGCACTGCAGGTAAATGCAAATGTGAAACTGTTCTAGAAGATAAGTTTAATTTAGGTCTGCCTTAGTAAGTAGAATTCCAAATAATGAATCTAAGTGACTATAACCCATTTATGGCTACAGTCTAGTAACCAAGTTTTGATTGTGATATAAAAGTGTTTTCCTTACAAAACTGGATAATACCTAGGAAACAAAGGAAAACAAGAATGAACCCAATATTCATGTAAAAATTTAATATTTACAAATACTACCATATTTATAAATTTGAAATCTTAGTGCCTAAGTATATGGAGGGAAATGCATCTGATTCTCCTAAATTAGTGATAAAAGTGCCAGTGTAAAAACCATGCAAGTTACTGAATATAAAACCTGTTCAAATCATTTGTGTATATTCCTTAAAATTTAATTATACTATCAATTATTAAATATTTCCAGTTTTAAAGTATTTAAATTGAATCAAAACAAAACATTGCCTTTATCTGGATCTTTTAGACTTGATGCACAGTAACTAAAATAATGACTATTGTTTTAATACCCTTATGAGCATTTTATGAGGGTATCACAAAGTTCTAAAATGTATTTTTTTAAGGTTACTCTTTAGTTTGTAATTGGTTAGTATATATTTTTTGTAGTTGTGTTCATTAGTTTGCTTCTGTATTTTTTTTAAAAGAGCTCTTGAAAGCTTGGCTTTTTCTGTTTCTCATCACTTAATATCTTTGTAGGAAACCCGAGTAATTTATTCATTAATATGAAATGTTGGTATTATGTGACTCAGAAGATCTTGGGTTTTAACATTGCTAGCATGAGTTAAACTATAATATAATGTACTGATGAAATTTAATTGAACTATCCGTGACTAGAAACACTGATGTTTTAAATGTTGGTGTTTTTCTTAGTTTTAGAAATCCTGGTATTAAAAAGTGTAATCACACCACATAAATTTTCTTTAGATGATGTGCGGAAGAAACTGATTGAGAATGCAGGAGTAACTGTAGGGAGAAACATTTTGATCACTGATATGCTTTAGAACTACCCAAATGAATTACATTGAGGGTAGTCAAATAAAATAGATCACTCACCACAGTCACTGCATAGAAAGTGGTTAAGTTTGACATAAGACATGTTGGATGTTATGAAAACTGTACTGAATATTGTACTGAATTTAGTCTCTCAGGAAAAAATTAATAAATTACTTTGTTGAAAGTATTAGGTTTCATTTTTTTACATCTCTATTAGTTTCTAACCTTAAGTATCACAAAGGTCAGAAAACCAATCAAATTTCATTTCACTGATAAGAACTGGAGCTGAGTTTTAAGTTTCATCAACAAGAATATTGGTAGACAAACCAATGCCATTCAGATATTCTTGCACTGGACCTCACCTCCTTCAAAGATGAAATTTTTCCTTTGCCTTTATACTATTCCAGGCAAACCAAAATAAAAATTCTGGGTAAGTTTTTATGTGACCGTGGTCAGAAATGAAACACTAGTCCATTCATAAAAACCAAACAAAAATTATTTGAAATTTTGTATTACCCTGCAGATGATTTTCAAATTAGTTGGTTATCCCCTTCTGTGGAATACTCTCTAGTGGATGGTTCTTACATACTGTACTTCTGAATTACAGTCTATGAGAACATAAAAATTAACATCACACATAATCTGTAGTGAAACTGATGCTCCCATTATTTCTAATCCAAAAGAATTTGACATACTTCATTTCTTTTAATAGACAAAGCAATTTATATAAAAGTGGTTGAAAATTACCTTGAATTATATCAGTGTCCTTCCCACTTGATAATCTACTTTATAAAGTTTTAGAGGGTTGGGGATTAATATTATGACTGAAATCCTGATTTTGGCCTAAAATGTCAATCATACCAGAAAAGATAAGGTTGTTTAAAATTTGCCCTTTGCAGGGGCATCTGGGTGGCTCAGTCTGCATCCGACTTCGGCTCAGGTCATGATCTCATGGCCTGTGGGTTTGAGCCCCGTGTCGGGCTGTGTGCTGACAGCTCAGAGCCTGGAGCCTGCTTCGATTCTGTGTCTCTCTCTCTCTGACCCTCCCCTGCTCACGCTGTCTCTCAGAAATAAAACGTTGAAAAAATGTTTTTAAATAAAATAAAATTTGCCCTTTGCAATATTGATCATTTTAGACATAAAGGATTTATCAGCACCTGAATTAAATGGATAACCTTACTCAAAGCCTAATGAGCTGACCCTTTTTTCCTATTTAAACATTAGTTCAAGTACATACCTAACTATAAGATACATAATAGAATCACAGAACTGGCTACTATCATAACTAAAGCAAGTACCCTTCAGGGGTTCATGGATATAACCTGACTCTGCTGCAAAGACCAAAGTCAAGATGAGAATAAACCAAAAATCCAAAATAAGGGTTAATAAAGTAGGGTTTTTCACACCATATCTGTAGCCACAGCCTACTGCTGCTGCCATAGAGGTCTAAGACTCCCAAAGTACTTCCAAGGCCTTCAAAGCCAATTTACTGACTTACAAAAATATAAAAGTAATTTTTCTGATCTAATACCTAACCTCACAGAAAAGAAAACCGAGGCAGAGAATTTGATTCTAGGAAAAGGTTCTACTACTAAAAGAGCATATTGGACTAATCAAAATAAAATATAGAGCAAAATTCAACACATTCCTAAGTGACTATTCACACAATCATTTCCACGGATAGCTGGAAGGAATCAGAATAAATCAGAAAATCAGTGATTTAAATAGTTTATTTTTTTAAAAGGTGGTGACTTTATTTTAAAATGCAATGCCACGGTTATAGGAGTGTATAGAGGGGACGTATCTTTTCCTTAACCATGCTTTTTACCTTCTGCACAAAGGTAAAAATTTTTGTTAACCTCATAGTTAATAGTATAAAACAGGTTGGCAAACTTTTCTCTGAAGGGTCAGACGGTAAACATTTTAGGCTTCACGGGCCATAAAATCACCTGTTCCTTCTTTCGCAACCCTTCAAAAATGCAATATTCGTTATTGACTTGCATTATATAAAAACAGACTGGGCCAAATTTGCTTGCCTGCTCTAGTTTGCCAACCTCCGGTATCAAATACCTTTCTGTCATGTCAGGAAGCTGCCTCTAGACAGTCCGCTTCTAGACAGCTGCTTCTAGACAGTCCGCTGCCTGAGGCCGAGAAAGGCCTGATTTACAACTGAATGTGGCTTGTGACCAAAGTAGAAACAGAGTTCCTGCTCATTTTTGACTCCCCTGGTTTTTCCATTCACTCAATAAATTTGTTAAGCACCCACAACGTACACTCGTGCAGAGATTTCCAGCGTTTGTTCCTTAAACACATAGTTCCTGCAGTTTCTCTCAACCTGTAATTATCAGGCCTTTATATTCATGTTTTAGGGCAGATCAGGATTAAAATCTCTACTGGTGCTCAAGAGGGCTCATGATTATCAAAACTGAATCTAGCTAACCATGATCTCCTTCCACCCAATACACATCCTTCTTCAAAACTGCAGCCTAGATGAGGAAAAATATGTGACTATCTACACTTAAAAAGATACTTCTCCTCCCATAAGCTGAAACTTTAAAAAATTTTCCCCCTCGAATCTCGAACATCTACCACATAATTTCTTCCTCTTTTCATAGGACGTTGCCATGTTAACATGATATCTGGATCCAGGTAGGGTTCTTCATTAGTTTTCGATTTCACCCATAAAACAATACATTTAGGGGTGAATAATAACTTTCAAAGTACTTTACGCTCCCACATTTCAGCTCAGGATAGAAGTGGTCATGATTCTGCTCCTTCAGGATGAAAACTGTCAGCTTTCTATTTCTGTTATTGATCCTAGGTGAGGGAAGACTTCGTAAGTGGCCAAAAGGAGCCAGGACCTCAGGATTAAAATATAAAAGTTGCCCCCATTCCAGATCTTTGGTACAGACACCAACTACAATAATCTGATTACCCACACCACACAGACATGGCACATTTTGTAATGAGCAGTGTTTGTGATTTTCCTTTTGACCGTGTGAACAGAAGGGAAATGCCTTGGGAAACCACTCATTTCTCTTAAATACACACGTGCGCCATCAGTTCTCCCTTTGCTCAAGTCCACGAGGAGAAAGAACAGAGTGGACCAGGGTTACCGCTTCCGCTCCCCTCTTTGTGTCCTTTTCTTTTCCTTTTCCTTGCGCTCCTGCTTGGCTAGCTTGTCCCGCTCCCTCTGCAGCCGGTCCTGTTCCTTCTTCCTCTGGGACTCATCCCGAAGGGAGTCGCGCTCCAGTTTTCGGGCATTGAGGACATCTTCCACGTTGGTGTTTCGGAACAGAGCTACAGGTGAGTTAAGGGATTAGGGTACAGGTCACACGGGTCCCAACTACCGCTCTTTCCTTATCCTTGCTGTTCACTCTCTACATGTTCCTGATCTTTAAAAAGAAAAATCCTTATCATTTGTCTTTGGTCTGATGGGAAATCCTGAAACTACCATTACAAAAGTTTAAAACTAATCCTCAGGATAAGAATCTCAGACTCCTCTAAATTTGAATGTTAAAATATTTTATGAAAATGAAATTTCATTCCAGAATAAGTACTCAGATCATGGCAGAATACTGTTGGAAGTATCTAGGCTCGTTTTAGTGAACAAGAATATTAATGTAACTGGCAAAATTTTTACATACTTGGCGTTATTAAAAATGGCTGGCTCAGTCAGTTACGCGTCTGACTTTGTCTCAGATCATGATCTTGCGGTTTGTGGTTCGAGCCCCGCATTGGACTCTGTGCCCCTCTCTCTCCTCCTTCCTGACTCATGCTCTGTCTCTCTCTCTCTCAAAAATAAACACTGGGGAAAAAAAATGCTTGAAAAAGTTGTTTAACCTTACTAAACTTTATCAATATGCCTTTTTTCCTAGACCACTGAAGCTTAAGCAAAAAACCATGTTCTAATTAATCACAAACTCTGAATTTATAGAAGATACAAAATTAGGTTTTTTTGTTTTCAAATTTTCCTTTTTTTAATGTCTTATTTATTTCTGAGAGAGACAGAGAGAGCTAGCATGAGCAGGGGAGGGCCAGAAACAGAGGGAGACACAGAATCCGAAGCAGGCTCCAGGCTCTGAGCTAGCTGTCAGCACACAGCCCGACACGGAGCTTGAACCCACGAACCGTGAGATCATGACCTGAGCTGAAGCTGGACGCCCAACCGACTAAGCCACCCAGGTGCCTCGATACAAAATAAGTTTAACCAGTTAGAAAATACCTAGCCAAAAATTTTATCCCTCATTTCTTAGGACTTTAAAAACAACATGGGGGTGGCTAGCTGGCTCAGTCGGAAGGAAGACCGCATGACTCCTGATCTCAGGGTTGTGGGTTCAAACCCCACGCTGAGTGTAGAGATTACTAAAAAAACAAAAAACAAAACTTAAAAAAAGAACGAAATTAACTGTTACTACCAAACCATAACTTAAAACATAACTTTCATTGCTTCAGTGCTTTAAAATACGTCTCCTTCATCTGTGATAATCCACCATACTTCTCATCTTTAAGAAGGTGGGTTCTTAGAACAAGCAAACAAACAAAAAAAGTGGATTCTAAAGGTAGAAGCTTCTCATAAGTGATTCTGTTGGGACTTTCCTCAGCACTTGTTTCCACTTATCCATAGTTTTAGCTCAAAAGTATTCACTGTTAGAGTCCTCTTTCTGACAAATTAGAAAGTCTTTGAGGACAAAGTCACATTTTAATGTTGTTATTTTAGTTGCTTCCATCACTGGGAACCCCAGTGCTCTACACAGCGAGTACTGATTCTTATTTTCCCTTAGAAATTCATAAGTTAACAAATCCTTCCTCCCTTCACAGTACAGGGTAACATGTTTTCTTCAGGGAAAAGTTGTTAAGATTGACCATTTATGGCTGTCTGGGAAACGAGGCTCACACGCTGGCCTGACATAAATTCCTGCTGGTAAAAAGGAGGCCCCAGCAATGACAGCAACATAAAAGCTGTTCCTTAAGAGTACTCAATGGAGAAACACTTGGGGATGGACACAGAGAAGGATACATTTATCAGAACCAATGTTCATTGTGGTGGCACCTGAATCATCCTTCTCATCTGCTTCGGTGACTGACGTTAAGGAAAGTCAGATGGCAAACAAAGGCTGGCATATCCCAACCCAACATCAGAAAACATTCAACGAAGTGATGGGTAGGAAGAGCATGCTGAAGAAAAACGCTGTCGGGGATGCGGGGGTAAACCCAGGAGAGTCGCCTTTAAAAATCTCAGCGTGGGGAAGATTATTCAGAGCTACTGTAAGATCCTTATCTCCTGGAGGCTGCAAAGAAACTTAGCCTGGTCCGCGTGGACTGCCCCACGAGCTGGAAGCCAGGGGATATTGAGATGACTCCCAAAACAGTGCTTTTCAGGGGCACCTGGGTGGCTCAGTCAGCTAAGTGTCCAACTCTTGATTTTGGCTCAGGTCATGAACTCACGGTTTGTTGGTTTGAGCCCCCTCGCTGGGCTCTGTGCAGACAGCACAGGGCCTGCTTGGGACTCATTGTTCCTCTCCCTTTCTCTCCGCCCCTCCCCACTTGTGCGTGCCTCTCTCTCTCTCAAAATAAAAAAATAAACTTAATAAAAAAGATAAAAGTGCTTCTGAAAGCATGGTTCCCAGAACTTCCAAGAAACTTGTTAGGAAAGCACATTCTTGAGCCCCACACTGGACCTACTAAATCAGAAAACTGGGGAGTGGGACCCAGCAATCTGGGTTTTAACAAGTTCTCCAGGGGAACCACTGCTGAAAACATTATTCTTTTCTAGCCCGAGAAATAAGACTGTGTCGCTGGACCCCTAGCTCTGCTGACCCCGGCAAGAGGAAACATTAGGAGAAACTAGAAGACCAGGCTGGCCCAAAAGAGCTTGAGAGTTATTTCCTAAGCTCGTGATGAGACAACTAGCGTTTCCGGTATGATGTGCACTGCATAAGGCACCACACGCCCCAGCGAAGCAGGCCCCGGAAGTTAAGCATCTCCTAAACAATTTCACACTTAAAGGGAACCAAGCCTGTCCCTGTCAAGGGCAACTGCCTTTGACACAATGCCCAAGTTCCAGATCGCTTCTGTGCTGGTCGGGGATTCGGTCTCACTTTCCATTATTAAATACAATATTAAATGCAATATTAAAAACATAATCAAGATTCAAATGAAACTGCCCCAAATTTGGGAATCCATCCAAAATGATCTGTTTTCTAGTCCTGGTTTTGCCACTAAATCTATGCGTGTCTCTGATCACACATTCATCTCTTGCTGTCTCTGTTTCTTCATCAACTGGGAAACGGATATGAAGACGGGTTATACATATGCCACTGCACTAGGCAGAAAGGTATTACACAAATACAAATGTAGAGCTGCACCTTAGTTTCTGGAAACACAATATAAATGGCCCATTATTAAGGCATCATTTCTTCCACACTGAAGTTTCCAACTATCCCAATATCACTTCTCACTGCCACAAAGGGCCAGAGATCAATGCCATTTTAGAGGGTAACATCAAACTGAGGGGGGAGATTGGCAACTTCCCAGTGCTCAGTGCGAGTGAGCAAACATTTCTGACTTGAGACTCAGGGAATGGTCCCAAGACTCCAAAAAGGATATTCTTCTTCATCTGTCACGTCAGCATACTGGGCCAGGAGGGCAGCCTTTCTCTGCTTCTCCTCTTCCGACACCATCCTGGGCTTCACCACAATCTGTGCCTGCTTCTCAATCAGGGTGGCAATGGCCTGTACCTCATCTGGGAGGGGGAGGGGCAGAGCAAGGGAAGGGAGGGACAAGGCTGTATGTGAGAGAAAACAAGCGCACCGAACCACCTGGAGGAGTCCACCCAGGCAGTGCCTGCAGGAAAAGGCAACGCATCTGCTGATTCTTTAGGGCCCTGGGGCTAAAGGAGGTGCCTCAGGGGCCCAGGAGAAAGGAAAGGCCACGCAGGCTAGGCTTTAGGTCGGGTATCTGTCTTCAATCAGAGTGGCCCTGCTTTCAACCTGTTTTATAAATTGAAATTTTGCTGCTTTTAAAAAAAAAAAAAAGAAAAGTCAGGGCGCCTGGGTGGCTCAGTCGGTTAATCCTGATCTCACAGTAGTGGAGTTCAAGCCCCACACTGGACTCTGCGCTGACTGCGCAGAACCTGCTTCGGATCCTGTGTCTGTCTCTCTGCCCCTCCCCTTGCTCACATGCTCTCTCTCAAAAATAAATACACGTTAAAAAAAAAAAAAGTTGAAAAGCACTACATTAGAACCATAGAAAATTTAGCTTCAAACATGCAACTTTCTCTCAACCCAGAAATCTAAGAAGGAATCTAGAATCAACTTATGCTGGTCCTTTTTGTAGTGATGATGATGCCAGGTGAAATTTGTAATTTTTTTAATGTTTGTTTTCTTTTGAGAGAGAGAGAGAGAGAGCGTGCATGAGCAGGGCAGGGGCAGAGGGAGGGACAAAGGATCTGAAACAGGCTCTGTGCTGACAGCAGCAAGCCCCAGGTGGGCTGGAACTCTCGAACCGCAAGATCATGACCTGAGCTGAAGTTGGACACTCAACTGACTGAGCCACCCAGGCAACGCCATAGATTATTTTACAACAAAATCAACTAAGCTATCCATTCTCAAAGAAAGGAGGCAGTGGTGTCCAGTAGTGGTTTTTATGCCTGGACCCACATTAGAATCATCTGGCGCAGCTTTTTAAAAGTGCCAATACCTGAGCCCCAACCTCAAAGATGTTTCTAGAACTAGTCCATGGTATGGCCCTAACACTGGTGCTTTTTAAAGTATATCAAGTGAGGGGCGCCTGGGTGGCTTAGTCGGTTAAGCGTCCGACTTTTGCTTAGGTCATGATCTCGCGGTTCGTGGGTTCAAGCCCCGCGTCGGGCTCTGTGCTGACTGCCAGCTCAGAGCCTGGAGCCTATTTCAGAGTCTGTGACTCCCTCTCTCTCTGACCCTCCCCTGCTCACACTGTCTCTCTCTCTCTCCTAGAAATAAATAAAACATTAAAAAAAAAAAAAAGTATATCAAGTGATTCTAACATACAACCAAGACTGAGAACCGATGTGCAGATAGTTTAGAATAGATTCAAATTTGGCTTTTAGGATCTCAGTTTTTTCTGACAGTTAATCTGTCATTGTAATAGTGAGTGTATTAACCTACTTCTCTTTCATTTTAAGGGGTGACAAATTTAGCAAAATGAAGCAAAACATCAATCACAATTGTTATGAAATGAGAATACCGAAAAGGTAGGAGGTGGGGAAAATATAGCTGGCCCCACACTTGCCGTGAAAATCTACCAGGGGCAATAGAAAGAGGATGAAAAGGAAGAAAGCAGAAGCCACAATGCAGGGGGTTGTGGTCAGATGGGGTGGAAAACTGTAAAAAAAGAAAAGGAAACCAACGTCCAGTTAAAAAGTTCCAGTAAGCTGCCGGGTGTTTGCCAATTTAAATTATCTTGGGCAAAAGGACTAGAAAATGGAGAAAACTCAAAATTCTCTCACTGACAGCTCTATGGTAAAGGCCGTTGGAAAAGGTGCCGCAGTTTAGACAAACTCCCAACTCTACCTTCTTTTTTCACTTTGGTGACAACGTTCTGACTTTCCGACCATCGTTCCACAATCTCCTTGCAGATGTTAAGAAGAGAATCTTCTTCCTAGTTGGAGAAGTAGACCAATTAATTTTCTGAGGGTCCTCGGCCTGAACAAAGTCCATGCACAGGGCACGGCTTGCCCTGCTGGCGATGAGAGGTCACAGGGAGGTTCTGGGGAGGGGGGGAGGGCGCCACAGAACAAATAGTATGTTTCTGCTCCGAGGCTCTGGACACAGAAGTAATCTTGTGTCTGAGTCCCAGAATCCATACCTGCTAGGTCAAGAGCACCCACTGCATCCTGCCAAGCGCCAGGGGAAAGGATTCCCAATAGTTCAGGACAGTCTTCCTCATGCTTTTGGAGCAAACACCTGTTGCCTGAATCAAAACTGACCTCTGTGAAGTCTTTCGTGGCTGCTACACTCAACTCTGTACCTTCTCCAAGGTTCATCAACTTTCATGCTGGAACATATCCGTGACCTTGCTGACTCCACCTCCTTAGGTGATAAATGAGTAGATGGTCTCTTATCCAACCATCCCTTTGCTCATTTTACACAAGCACACATATCGTGCATGCCAATCAATCTTCCTTACCACGATATAAGAAAAAGGATGTTGGCTTTGGTGTTAGACATACTTAAAGTCAAACTCAGGCCAATGAACAAGATTCTTAACTTTCCAAGCTTCACATCTTCCCAGGATTTTAGGAAGGATGAATGAGAATGTGTATAAAGTCCCTACTCTTGCTTGGGGATATTCTATGCTTGGAAAAGAATAGGCATTTCAAGAGATATAAGTATTTCCCTCCATTCTCATTATGGCCGCTTCACCATTTTCACGTTCTATTTTTCAAAATGAGTTGTCAGAGTTCACATTTACTAAGTACTTGCATGTGCCCTGTTCTAAGTACTTCACATAAGAACTCTTAATTCTTAAAACAATCCCAAGATGTAAGTACCATTCTCAGTTTACGGATGTGGAAACCAAGGCACAGAGGTTAAGGAACTTCCCCAAGGTCATTAATAAGTGGATTAAAAAGGATCTGAACCCAAGCAGTCTAGCTCTGAGCCCATGTTCTCAACCATTATACCATCTCTCAAAGAAAGCGAAGAGAGACAGAACACAACCTTTTTTAAAGATTTTACTGTTTTTTAAAAGTAATCTCGGGGCGCCTGGGTGGCTTAGTCGGTTAAGCGTCTGACTTTCGCTTAGGTCATGATCTCGCGGTTCGTGGGTTCGAGCCCCGCGTCGGGCTCTGTGCTGACCGCCAGCTCAGAGCCTGGAGCCTATTTCAGAGTCTGTGTCTCCCTCTCTCTCTGACCCTCCCCTGCTCACACTCTCTCTCTCTCTCTCCTACGGGGAAAAAAAAAAAAGTAATCTCTATGCCCAAACATGGGGCTCAAACTCACAACCCTGAGACCAAGAGACAACACGCTCTACGGAATAAGCCAGGCAGGCGACACTAGTTTGGATTTCCTTCCTTTGTACCCAACAAAGGATTACATCCTCTACCCTGCATCCTTTTTGGCACTCACGCCAAACATACAGAACTTCTTTGGTCCACAGTTTCTTTAGTTCACGGGACCCCAGCAGGAAAAGCAAAGGGGGTGGGGGGAGGAGGAAAAGGAGTAGAGAAGCAAAAGAGAAAAGATGCTTTTGGAGGACAAGGTGGTTCATGTTCCCAGGCTTCACCGGGACCAAAGTAGTTCATTCATAAATTTGTTCATTTATTTATCCAGACAGTGCCTGCCATGTTGAAGGCACGAAGATGAGTGATAAGAAATGAATGAGAAATGGTCCCTGGTCACAAGACACTGACAATTTAGAAGGCTGGTATAGAAACAGCTGCCGTAAAATGTAATGCCCCCATCAACGTAATAATCCTACCTAAAACTACAACTCACCCTTCCACTCCACTTCTGATCCCCTTACAATGTTCCTTTTTTTCCCAGCACTTAGGATTTTCTAGCATCCTATATAATTTACTGATTTTTTTTCCCTGCTAGAATGTCACCTCATAAGAAGTGACAGGGTTTTCTGTTTTGTTCCCTGAGGTACCCCCAGCACTTAGGGCAATGCCTGGCAGAGACTAATCCATCAATAAAAACTCGATGAATCAATCAATCAATATAAAAGCTATCAGAAAGAATTTTAAAAAGGATAACAGAAAGCTTTTATTAGTAACTGCTACTTGCTCCTGACAATAGACACCGTCCTTGAATCTTAACTCCATTTGCTGCTGACAAACTTCTTAATTCCTAACATTGAATCTGAGCCCAATCTGGTGACTGATTTAGCTATGTCTTTTGTCTTTCCTAGAAAGGGATTTGATACAATAATCAGGGGCTTTTATATACAGCCTGACAAAAAGCAAGCAGCACCTTGAATTATGTGTTTTCATATTCATTGGCTTTGCTGCTCTTTAAAGTTCCTTCTAGGTTATTTCATGAACAGGACCCCTGCCTCACCATAGAATTCCTGGCCAATTCTTCCCCAAGTCATTTCCTTTATAAGAGGCTTGGGAAAACCAAGAGAGAATGAAGAATGGTGTGTGAATCAGGCAGAGAGTGAGAACCCACCCTTAAAAATGAGTGTGTCTTGGGGCGCCTGGGTGGCTCAGTTGGTTAAGCATCCAACTTCGGCTCAGGTCATGATCTCACCTGAGTTTGTGAGTTCGAGCCCCACATGGGGCTCTGTGCCGACAGCTCAGAACCTGCATTGGATTCTCTTTCTCCTTCTCTTTCTGCCCCTCTCCAACTTCTGCTCTGTCTTTCAAAAATAAATAAATGTAAAAAAAATTTATTTTAAATATGGAGCCCTTTAAAAAAAATGAGCCTGTCTTCTGCAGTTTATGTAAATAAGCAGCAGATATAAAGAACCAAACACGTTTCTTCATAATTTTTCTCTCTTCCACCAAGAGGCTGCTAATTGTCTAAGGTAAATTCATGCCGGCCTTTATCAGCAGACATGCAGTTCCAAATAATGACACCATGAATAGAAGAGGTCAAGGAGCTAGTACCAATGAGTATCTAAGGTACTTCAACCTCTTTTCCTGGAGTCTTTAGAAACTTCCCAACTGGAAATAAAAACTAACTTAAACTGCTTGCCTTATATTCTTCCCCCCTGCGACCCCCCAGCAACCTGCTAGGTCAGGGTCCAGGAGAAGAATTTACTACATAGTGTTTTATCTCCACCGAACTTATGAGATGCATCACAAGCTGTGTTAAGGCTTTCCCATTTATAGGTCAGTCTCACCAGAGCAGACTCTGGGACTAAAAAGGGGACCTTGCCAGGAGGCCCTGGGACAGCTGCACTAGTATTGTATTTCAACCATACGCCCAATCATTGAACTGCGGTTCCACCAAGTAAGTTTAAGTGGAGATGAAGGCAGCAGAACGGTCAGGGTGGAAAAGTGGACTATCCGGTGATTTACTCCTTAAACGCAGATTAAAGTACACATTTCTGATTCTTGAACCTGCCAAGTTTCTCTCTCCCTTTTAAAACTCTGACCTTAATGCTCGGTTTGGCAGCACACAGACTAAAAATTGGAACGATAAAACTCTGACCTTATTTCCCACCTCCGCCAGCAGACAAGGATGGTTACTGCATTTCTAAATACTGTAAAAGATCAAGCACAGTATTTGCTTCAGTCCGGCCTAGGCCTACACCTATACCTAGACTTCTTACCTGCTTACCTTTTCTTTATTCCTGCCTCCAGAACAAGAACCAAGAGGGTACTACCTGCAGGCTTTTGTCATGGGGTAGCACTGGGCACTGTCACTTAAAGAGCACATACAACCCAGAGCACTTTGCTCTTCTCTTTGAACACCGTCAATGGATGAGAATGAAATTGGTCGTTAGGCGTCTATGCTAAAACTCTCATGTAGGCATTTCAGTGCATTCGGAAGAATATTCACCCAGCTCACCCACAGGCACCCAAGAGGCCCGTGTCCCCAGGAATAAAAGACACTCTTCTCTATGCACCTGTAACCCCCTGGCTTCCCCAAATCCTGGTTGATGAGCAACCCTCTTCCCCCGCGGCCCAGAGCTCAGAATATTCCTCTCCCAGGTGAGACCACTAATCCTCTGGGACACAAGGTATGGGAAAGGGGGTACGAAGTACTGACAGGGGCCGCCAGGAAGCTAAAGGAACGTGTCCGGGCTTCTCACCAAGAAAGCAGAGAGGATACCCTGCAGGGCGTCCAGCCTCTCCTCTTCCTCCTCCTCCTGCAGGACACCCAGGATGTAGGCGCCGTAAACGGCTCGGTCCACTCCCAGCGCCTCCAGCCGTCCGTCCAGCCACGACCCAAAGCCGCTGCCCCCACCATCACCCTCGCCGGAGGCAGCCGCGGCCACTTCGCTGGGCGCCGCCATCTTGGGGTCAGGGTCCTGCCAGCCTCCAGGGCGCCTACCGCAGTGCCTGACGGACCGCGCCGCGGGCCCACTGCGCATGCTCCGAGGGGTAACCCACTCCCCGGCTCGTCCGGCGTAGAGCCAATCGCCCGGTAGTCACCGGCTCCGGCATTTGCTCCTTCTGAATAGAGCGTCTGTTGGCATACGCACGGTTACGTCATCGCTCCGGAACCCTGGCAGGTGAGTATCCTTAACAGACTCTTTCTTTACAGTTGGGGAAGTTCTGAGAGGTTCGGTAACTTGGCCAAAGTCACGCGGCTGCTAACTGTAGAGGGCGGGGACCCAGTTTCGATTCCAGCGCTTAGGTGCATCTCACCGAGCTGCCCTTCCGCGCGCCCTCGGTAGATTCTAAGCCCCCGTTCCCACACAGCTTTCAAGAGGGAACCTGCTGACTCTGTTCGGAGTACCCACCGTCACTGTCAGCTGGCACCACCTTTGCCTTTCCAAGCTCCTCCGGTGTCAAAACTCAAGCCCCAGGAAACCTTCCGTGGTTCCCTGCAGTCTGTGTTGAGACCCGTCCAGTGTGCTGCAGGTGCTTCTCTGCACTTAGCTTGCTGCTCTTAACGTAGTACCGGATGCAGTAGGTGCCCAATACATGATCAGGCAACCTCAAGTCATTTTTGACTCATTCATTCAACACTTAAATGCATTATCTTCGAAGAGACTTCTTTACTCTTTGCCAGGCACTGTGCTAAGAGCTTTTGGTGCATTATTGCTTGTAATCCCCTCAACAACTCTGTGAAGAGATACTTTTAATGTCCCTGTACTAAAGGTAAGGAAACTGAGGCACAGAGTCCCGAAACTACAGGAAGCCTAACTAGAGGCAAGGGCTTCTGCACGGCTGCCAGAGCCTGCGCTGAGTCTGCAAAACACCTGGCTCTGGGCTGAAATGAATTACCCAAGAACCTGGGTTGGCTTTTCCTGAACTGCAGAGAGGCTGGTAGGTCATTGGCCTGACTCATTTACTGAATATTATCTACAACATGCATTGCTGCTAGCACTGAAAGTACAAAGATGAACATCACAAAATCTCTGCTCTCAAAGGATCTTCAGTCTGGTGGGAACAGGCATGTTTAATGACAGTATAGTGAAATAAACGTTTTAATGGAGCTTTGTCCAATGAGGTTGTAGTAGCGTGCGTAGAAGATTAAGTTCCTGTTGAGTGGGGTTGGAAGCTGTGGAGATGGGGGCTGCCTAGTGGAGATAGTACTTGCACTTTTTTATTTTTATTTATTTTTATTTTTTAAATGTTTTATTTATTTTTGAGAGAGAGATAGAGACAGCATGGGCAGGGGAGGGTCAGAGAGAGAGGGAGACACAGAATCCGAAGACAAGCTCCAGGCTCTGAGCTAGCTGTCAGCACAGAGCCCCATGCGGGGCTCGAACCCACCAACTGTGAGATCATGACCTGAGCCGAAGTTGGACGCTTAACCGACTGAGTCACCCAGTCGCCCCTGCACTTTTTGAGAGAATGAATCAAAGTTCTTTTTTTTTAATTTTTAAATTTTTATTTTTTATAGATTTTTTTAACGTTTTATTTATTTTTGAGAGATAGGATACAGCACGCGAGCAGGAGAGGGGCAGATAGAGAGAGAGAGACACAGAATCCGAAGTAGGCTCCAGGCTCTGAGCTGTCAGCACAGAGCCTGACAAGGGGCGGGGCTCAAACCCACAAACCGTGAGATCATGACCTGAACCGAAGTCAGATGCTTAGCCGACTAAGCCATCCAGATGCCCCATGAATAACAGTTCTTTAGGCAAAAAGATGAGCAGAGAAAGAGAGCTGACTCCGACGTAGGGAACTGTGTACAAAAGTTTGTGAGGAACCTCCAGAGATTTATGGATAGCTTGAGCAACACAGTTCAGATAGAAGAGATTCAGGGAGTGACAGCACAAAGAAAGGCAAGCTTCTGTGGGTTCCCCTTATTATCGTTGAGATAATATAAATGAATGGAACACTGTAGAGCTGGGAAATATAAGATAGTGTGAATATTATCTCCATGACCTCTGTGTGCTGAGTTAGAATGTGACAGTAGTGGAGTCAAAAGCCAGAGTCAGCCCCCAAAGACTTGCCCGTTTCAGTCCTCAGATACACTTTTTTTTTTTTTTTTTTTTAAGATTTTAAGTAATCTCTGCATCCAACATGGGGCTCAGACTTACAACCCCAAGATCAAGAGTCACATGCTCCACCAACTAAGCCAGTTGAGTGCTCCCTCAGATACACCTTCTAACCCAGGGGCTATCTTGCAGGTAGCGCTTGTCAGTTGGCCAACTTGGGAGCCATTGTGACTCAAGGATCATAGTGTGAGGTCAGTACAGAGCGCCCCAACCAGAAAAGTACCAGGAGATTTTTTTAGCTTTTTTTTTTTTTAACTTTTTATTTTCAAGTAATTGCAGACTCCTGAGAAGTTGCAAAAATAGTACATAGAAACTTGTGCACCTTCTTCCACGTTCCCCCAATGGTACTACATAATTATTAGTACAATATTGAAATCAGGAAACTCGTATTGGTACTATGCACGAAGGTTTTTGAAGGCATCATGGGCTTATCACAAAACAGGGAAGGCCGCTCAGACCCTGCATTAAAAAATTAAAAAAAATCCTTATTGGCTATGTTATTACAAAAGTACTTGTTCATAGTTAAAAAATATACAAATGGACACATGACAGCTTATTGGAAAAATCAATACAACCATTTTCACTATAAAAAGATGCTGATGCAGGGCCGCCTGGGTGGCTCAGTCGGTTAAGCTTCCGACTTCGGCTCAGGTCATGATCTCATGGTTCGAGGGATCAAGCCCAACCAACATCGGGCTCTGTGCTGACTGCTAGCTCAGAGCCTGGAGCCTGTTTCAGTTTCTGTGTCTCCCTCTCTCTCTGACCCTCCCCTGCTCATGCTGTGTGTGTGTGTGTCTGTCTCTCTCTTTCTCAGAAATAAAACATTAAAAAATTTTTTTTTAAAAATGCTGATGCAGATTAGATTTGGCAGATTAGATATGCAGATTAGATTTGGCAGTGAGAAACCACGTTTGCCTCTCAGATCCAAAAGTCTTGGGGCTGGGGCAGCTGGATGGCTCAGTCCTGGGTTAAGCACCTGACTCGAGTTCTGCTCCGGTCATGATCCCAAGGTCATGGGACCATCCCACGTCATGCTCCCCTCTGAGTGTGGAGCCTGCTTGACATTCTCTCTCCCTCTGCCCTTCCCCCACTCACGTCCGTGCGCTCTCTGTCTCAAAAAGAAGTCTTTACTAAAAGTCTGATAATATGCTGTGTTGAACTGTGATTGGGTAGCAGGCACTGGAAAATGTTGGAGTGGGAAGTAAATCGGTACAATCTTGTTGGAGGGCAACTTGAAAAGACCCTGCATTTCTCCTTCCAGGAACTTATAATATGCACATGTGTGCACACTGACATATTTTTAGGGACATTCATTACAGTGATACTTATTGTAGTGAAAGGACAGAAATAGTCTCCATTCTGTAAGTGGGAGACTGGCTCAAGCTACGAAAGGCAGGACTGGAGGACTGTAAAAATGGAGGAAGCTCTTTATGTACTGATAGGTAACAAAACTCAAGATATGTTGTTAAAGAAAAAAGTGAGGCTCAGGACAGTATATGATGTTTGCTTCCATATGTGTTAAAAAGAAGGTGGGGTAGGGAGAATATGTACACATATGTATCCTTGCAGATGCATAAAATAGCTCTGGAAACATACTCCAGGTGTGGAAGGATAGCTGTTGCTGGAGGAGGACTCCCGGAGATTAGTTTCAAAACATCTTGTTTTAGGGGCGCCTGGGTGGCTCGGTTGAGCGTCCGACTTCGGCTCAGGTCATGATCTCGCAGTTCGTGAGTTCGAGCCCTGCGTCGGGCTTTGTGACAGCCAGCCCAGAGCCTGGAGCCTGTTTTGGATTCTGTGTCTCCCTCTTGCTTTCTGACCCTCCCCTGCTTACACTGTCTCTCTCTCTCTCTCAGAAATTAAAAAAATTTTTTTTAATTTCAAATACTAAAAAAATACCCATCTTATTTTAAAATTATGAGCTATTTGTTATATTTATTTACCTTGCATTTGTTTTTAAAATAGGGGTGCCTGGGTGGATTGGTTGAGTGTCCCACTCTTGATATCGTCTTAGGTCTCGGTCTCACAGTCATGGGATCCAGCCCTGCATCCGGTTCCACACTGGGGACTCCACACTGACCTTGGAGCCTATTTGGGATTCTCTCCATCTGCCCCTCCCCAGCTTGCTCATGCGCATGCTCTCCCTCTCTCAAAATAAATAAACATTAAAAAAAAAAAAAACCTGCTTGAATGCTGCCTCCAATCTCCTTTTCTTCCCTTCATCCCCAGAGGTAACCACTATTATTGAATTTGGTGTTTATCTTCCTCTTGAATGTTTTGAAACATAGTATATATTACACAGTATGGATGTATGTTTGTATCCATACATACTATCCATAAACAGAATGTCACTTGTATGTTGGATTTTTCATTCTGTGGTATGCTTTTTTTCACATAAAATTATTTGAAATATTTATGCATGTTGGGGCACCTGGCTGACTCCATTGGTGGAGCATGTGACTCTTGATCTCAATGCTGTGAGTTCAGCCCCACCTCACAGCCCCACGTTGGATGTTGAGATAACTTAAAAATAAAATCTTTAAAAGCTTTACCTGTGTTGTACATACAGCTCTTGTCTGTTCATTTAGACAACTGCATAGTATTCCACTGCTTGAATATGTCTCATTAGTCCATTCCTTTGGTGACGGGCATTTAGATCATTTCCCAGTTTTGCAAACAGTGCATCAATTCACATCTTCTATGTCTCTTTGTATGTTTATGGGAAAGTTTCAGTAGGCCAGTAAGCATCAAAAATATTTTTGCCACATACTCTTGGCAGTAAAAATATTTCACCATGCATTTCTAATGTACGAATGTGTATTTGTGAATTACATATGTGAGCCACTATAACAAATGAGTGTGTCCATAATAAGACATATAAGACATAAGACATGGGGCACTGAGGTAGCTCCCTCGGTTGAGCATCTGGCTTTGGCTCGGGTCATGATCTCGTGGTTCGTGGGTTCAGGCCCTGCTTTGGGTTCTGTGCTGACAGCTCAGAGCCTGGAGCCTGTTTTGGATTCTGTGTCTACCTTTCTCTCTGCCCCTCCTCTGCTCATGCTCTG